GACACCGACAAAGTACTGCATTTCCCTAAACCTTGACATTATTGTTCATAAAGAGGGAATACTAATTGAATCTACCTTGTGGGTACAATTTTTGAAGAGTAAATGTTATGAGAAATAATTGCCTAGTATGAAGTTAAAGACATAACAAGTCCTCAATGAACAGCGGCCATGATTATTAATTACAATAATTGCAGCAGTGAACTACCCACTGTTGTGAAGGTTCGGCAAGCAGAACTGGGTTTCTATCAGGAAGGCTGTGGTGGAGGGGATTCAAGCCTCAAGGCTTTTGCACACACCTTTCCCTCTGCCCCATCTCTCCCTTCTTCACCTGCTCATGAATGGGCCTCCTTAGTACCTCAGACTTCACTTCCTCAGGAAAGCCCTCTGAGATTTCAGGATTCTATATTAAATGCTCTCCTGGCACCTGTCCCTTCAGAGCAATATCAAAGTGGGAATTAATGACGCTTATAACTTTTATTGATTGATTGATTTTAAGAGATAGAAGAAGGAAGGGAAGGAAGGAGAGAGAGAGAAAGAGAGAAGGAGATCAGTTTGTTGTTCCACTTATTTATACATTCATTGGTTGAGTCTTGTATGTGCCCTAATGGGATTGAACTGAAATCTTGGTGTGATGGAACTATGCTCTAATCAACTGAACTACCTGGCCAGAGCTAATGTTCATAATTTTGAAAGATCAGCTTTATTGAGATATAATTTATATAGTATAAAACTCAACTATTTTAATTGTAGTTAAATGATTTTTTAGAAATGTATATATTCAGTGATATAACCACCCCCCCAATCAAGATATGGACTTTTATTCACCCTCCCCCCAAAATTTCTTTGTGCCCTTTTGCATTCACTCTTTTCCCACTGCAGACTCTGGCAATTAATTTGCCTTTTCTAGAATTTTATATAATTTCATATAGTATGTAGGTTTTTAGTCTGGATTATTTCACTTAGCATAATGCATTTGATTTCATGCAGATTGTCATGACTACTAATACTTTATTCCTTTTTATTATTGTAATAATATTGCATGATATGGATATGCCAATGTTTGCTTATCAATTTACCCATTGATGGACATTTGGGTTATTTCCAGCTTTGGGCTCTTATGGATAAAGCTGTTATGGACATCCAAGGATGTATTTCTGGACATATGGTAAGTATGTATCTAATTTTATAAGAAACTATCAAACTATTTTTTAAAATTGGCAATACCATTTTGCATTGCTCCATATCCTAGGTCATACTTGGTATTGTCTATTGGTGTGTGTGTGTCAGGAGGGGGGGGGTTAAGTTTTTGTTTATTTGTTTGTTTTAGTTGAGCCATTTAGTAGTATGTAGTGGTACCTCATTGGATTTTTAAGTTTTTATTTCCATAATTACTAGTGATGTGGAAAATTATTTCATGTAATTATTGGCTCTTCTTTGGTAAAGTATCTGTATAAAGTTTTTAGGTAAACTATTTTATTATTGAGTTTTAAGAGTTATTTATATATGCCACTGATCTATATGTCTATCCTTATGCCAGTACCACACTATCTTGATTACTATAGCTTTGTAGTAAGTTTTGAAATCAAGAAGTGTTTATTCAATTGTTTATTCTTCTTTTTCAAGATTGTTTTGACTCTTCTGAGTCTCTTACATTTTTATATGAATTTTAGTATCAACTTGCCAATTTCTGAAAAGAAGGCAGCTGGGATTTTGATACAGCTTATGTTTAACGTGTCGATCAATTTGAAGAGTATTGCCATTTTAACAATGTTAAGTCTTCCAATCCATGAACATGGGATGCCTTTCATTTATTTAGAGCTCCTTTAATTTGTTTCAACAATGTTTTATAGTTCTCATTGCACAAGTTTTGTACTTCTGTTGTTCCTAAGTTGTTTTTTTTCATGCCATTATAAATGAAGCTGTTTTCTTATTTTCTTTCTTTAAAAAAAAAAATTTTTTTTTTAAATTTATTTCAGAGAGGAAGGGAGAAGGAGAGAGACATGATATTGATCGGCTGCCTCCTGCATGCCCCACACTGGAGATCATCCCACAACCCAGGCATGTGCCCTGACTGGAATTGAACTGAGCCTTCCTGGTTTATAGGTTGACACTCAGTCATTGAGCCACACCAGCCTGACATGACCTGCCCTCTTAACACACACACACACACACATACACACACACACACACACACACCCCTCCACTGATGTTATATACCAGGAGAACCACTGGTCTGGGGGCCTCATCTCTCCGTTTCCTTCTGTGCCTGTGTTAGAAGAGTGTATACAAATGTTGATGCATGTGGTTTAGTGGCAAGAGCACTGGACTGAGAGCCAGGGTACTCATCTCATTCCAGTTCTGCAGCTCACCAGTTGTGTCTCTCGAGGCACATTAGTTCATATCTCTGGGCTTGTAGTTTCTCAATACTTAAAGTAAGGGGTTTGAATTAGACCATCTCAAAGGTTTCTTCAAGTGCCAACATCCTATGAGTCTATGAATTGGTGACCTTGCTGATAGAGCTAATAATTACCTGACCTGGCAGGATAGCTAAGATTTATTTACTTTAATAATATTTATCAAAACCACAGAGCTTGGCTGCTCACTTCATGCTCATTTATCTTCTCTGGCTTCCTGTTTATCCCAAAGGTTATCTTTTCAAACCGCCCTTTGGGCTTATAAAATCTCCTTTGTGTTCACTCCATGTTACTAAGTGAACAAAGAGCAGGTTACAAAACTGTATGGATCCCATTTTATTAAAAAACTCACATGGGTGTGTTTGTATATATAGATATAGACATATCAATGTTTACATTTATGTAGTCTAAAAGGATATGTATATCAAAATGTTAGGATGGCTTTTTCTGGATGGAGAAATAACTGGTGATCATTTTACTTTTTCTTTCTTTCTTTCTTTCTTTCTTTCTTTTTTTTTTTTTTTAAGAAGATACATTTTAAATACATTTTTATTGATTTCAGAGAGGAAGCGGGAGGGAAAGAGAAAAACATCAATGATGAAAGAAACTTATTGATTGACTGCCTCCTCCATGCCCACACTGGGGACTGAACTCACAAACATGGGCATATGCCCTGACTGGGAATCGAACTGTGATCTTCTAGTTCATAGGTCGATGCTCAACCACTGAGCCACGCTGGCCAGGCTTCCTTTTTCTTTATACACTTTGTCCTTTGCAATTTTTGTCTGATGGAATTGCTTATATTTTTTATATTTATTGCTTATAAACACAACAGCTAACAAGCCAATAAATAATGTCTTATTTGGATTCAGAGTCTCCCTGCCCCTTTAACTTTGTCTTTGGCGTCTTCTCCTAGGTTAGCTACCTGTCTTTCTGTTTTAAAAGACAAAACAATGGGGAAAGGGGTACACAACGCATGGGACAAAGTAATCTAACCCCTGGGAATTCAGCCCTCTCCAACCCCAGCTTTTCCGCTATTCCCCACATCCCACCCCCATTCAATCACTCTCCCCTTTTTCTCTTTCCTTTTGTGTCAATATTCTCCCCCAACACACACTCACACACATCCAGTTTCTCCCTCTATAATCTATGTTGAGCACTTCCAGCATTCATTCATTCATTTATTAATTCATTCATCATAAATTATGCTTAAATCAGAACAATGGAATAAGCGTGTTGCTTAGAGTTGAAGACTCTGTTTTGAGTCCTGAATCTGCCCTAGGTATACCAGGATCATGTGAAAAGCACTTGGAAAACTGTAAAGACAGATCAGTGGGAATTGTCATGGCCAAGGCCCTGTGCTGAGCCCATAGGGAAAATGGGGTGGAGGAGTCTCTGCCTTCAAAAAGTTGTGAATTGTTTTCTAGGGTAGATGTGTAAATGCAAAGTGGGTGTTAGAGGGCTTTGAGAGATGCAGAAATAATACCCATAGACAAGGAATGAATGACTAGATTCTGCAGAGGAGGGAGAAGGAAGAGTCAAAAATCACCAAGGGGGTTGGGGCCAGAAAATCATGGGCCCATTAATCTGTTTATCAATCCATCTACTCATTCATTCCACAAAAACACATTGAGCATCTGCCACCAGCCCAATACTGTCATAGACGATGCAGATGAACCAGCAGAGAGAACAGATAACACCCTCTACCTATCCCATTTTGCTTACATTCTATGGGTCCACAGAGGAAAGGAAGTAAACAAGTACATAAACTAGATCATTTCCAAAGGCGATAAAAGCTATGAAGAAAATAACACTGGTAGTGTGTCAGAGAGCAACGGGGGAGGTGACATTTGTGCTTCCGTGCCATTAGCTGAAATAAAAGTCAGCGGCTGTACTGAGGCGGAGGATGGTGAATTTCATGGTAGAGCTGCTGACTCAGATACTAAGATTCACCTCCTGGTGAAAATATTTTAACCTTCTCTCAAACTGTGTATTATATTACTAGAGGCCCAGTGCACGAAATTCATGCACTAGTAGGGTCTCTAGGCCTGGCTGGTGATCAGGGCTGATCAGGTTCTCCCCCTCCCAGCCTCCCTGCATCATCCTTTCCTCACTCTCTCAGCACCCAGCCACAGCTGGTAGTCCGCCATGTTTCCCACCACACCCTGGTAGTCAGTGCATGCCATAGCGATCGATTAAACTCCCTGTCTCCCAGTTGAACTCCTGAGGGGACAATTTGCATATTAGCCTTTTATTATATAGGATTTTCTGGCTCAGAAACATTTGGTGGGTTTCCATTGCCCTCTGGACAAAATCCTAATTATTTTTTATATATTTAAATATATCTTTATTGACTTCAGAGAGGAAGGGAGGGGAAGAGAGAGAGAGAGAGAGAAAGAGAGAGAGAGAGAGAGAAAGAGAGAGAGAGAGAGAAAAACATCAATGATGAGAGAATCATTGATCAGCTGCCTCCTGCACACGCCCTACTGGGAATGGAGCCTGTAACCCAGGCATGCGCCCTGACTGGGAATTGAACGGTGACCTCCTGGTTCATAGGTCAATGTTCAACCACTGAGCCATGCTGGCCAGGCAAAATTCCAGTTTTTTAGCTTGAAATCTAAGGACCTTCACAATCTCACCAGGCCTGTCCATCTGCCTGCTTCTATCTTCACAAGAACCTTCCATTCTGGCCTCAAAGGACTCGTCACCATCCCCACTCAGGTTCTGTCCCTTTGCACCTCCATAATTGGGTCCTAGGAAAGTCTGCTGAGTTCTCTAGTCTACAACTGCCCTGCTCTTTTTGAGGCTCAGGCCTTTTCTCTACTTGCCCATCCTTATGATTGTTTAAATGTCTCATAAGCAAGGACTCAACTCTTCAATAAGAATGTAGTCTCCTTGAGAAAGGAGCTGGCCCCTATGTTGAATTTGCTCTGTACACCTGCCCAGAAACACATTAACCAGCTTTACAGATCAATTATCTTCTTGTATAAAATGAAGAAGGAAAGAGAATGAGAAGAGTTTGGAAAACCAAAGTGTTTCCCATCCAAATTCATGGAGCCGGGAGATGACAGAATTCAGCTGTGGGCAAGTGTTCAGAAGCAATCAACAAGGAATCAAGTCAGTTTGCTAGAAGTTGGAATAAACTCCATCTACCTTGTGCATCTAGGGATGAGTCTGCTTGGCAACGCATGGCCTGAGAGTGGGAATTCCTCCCACCCCTGAATCCACAAGAGGGGCAGAGGCCTGGATTCTGGCCTAGAGTCATCTGTAGCCCCTCTCTCCAAGGCTTCCTTCCTCAGGGTCCAAGGCTGTGTCATCTTTCCTTCTTTTAACCTGTGGGAAAATGGAGCACCTCAGTTTACCCATCTGAAATGCAGGATGATGGGGGATCAGCTGTTCCCTTCCCTTCCCTTCCCTTCCCTTCCCTTCCCTTCCCTTCCCTTCCCTTCCCTTCCCTTCCCTTCCCTTCCCTTCCCTTCCCTTCCCTCTCTCCTTCAGCAACATTTGATACTGGTGCTCAACCTCTGTGCTTTGAGGCCAGGATGCCAGGGAGGGAGGGCAGTGGGAGGTTAGGGGAGGGGCACGTGATCGTCATGACGGGTGTTGGGGAGGAAAGTCAATACCATAAACACGTATTCATCAGGACATTCCTTCTGCGGTGTCTTTCATCTGGGGAATCTGAAAGCCCTGGACAAATGGTAATTAATTTCCACAGCAGCTTCCAGGGAGGATGGGGTGCTGCCTGCCAAAGGCCAGAGGGGCACTTTCCCAACACCCCTCCCCCAACCCTCCCGGCTCACTCCCAGCTACTGCTTGTCCCCAAGGTGGCAATGCCAGGTGATGGCATCCCTGGATGGAGACTGTTTCCTAGGACTTCTCTGCTTAGAAGGCTCCAGAGACTCCTAACTGACCTCCTCCCCCCACCCCTACTCTTTCCCAGAGGATGACTAAGAGTGAACCGGGGCAGGAGTGGGAGCTTTTCCGGCCCCCACAGGCAGGCTGGGGCCAAACAACTAGTTAGTTGACTCAGCGGGAACCACATGGCTCCAAAAATACAAGTGCCTCTGCCCAGTTCCACCTCGCACTCCCTTAGCCCTTTGGACACAATCACCTGCTCCTTCTCCCTCCTCCTCCCCTTACCCCAGGGAAACCACTTGAAGTGATGTTTGCCTTATTTCTAGTTATAGAAGAGTTATAAGCTTAGTATAAAACACATTTAAAATATAGAAAAATATAAAACAGAGAGTTATTTTGTTAATTCCATAATTCCTTCCCTCCCCAAATAACCACTGTTGAAATCTTATTGTATTTAAACATTTATTTGTTCTGCTTTTTGGGTTTTATTTAAAAATTAATACATAATCATGGCAAAAATTATATACTGTATATTATAATACTATATACTAGAGGCCCAGTGCACAGGTTTGTGCACCGGTGGGGGCCATGCCTTGCAATCTGGGACCCCTCGGGGAGATGTTGGATTGCCAGTTTCAGCCTGATTCCCACAGGCCAGGCCACGGGACCCCACCGGTGCATGAATCTGTGGACCAGATCTCTAGTTAAGATCTTTGATTAAAATCTTCCTGCCCTCTCCCCTCCCCCTTCCTCCCTTCCCTCTGAGATTCATCAATTTGTACCATCTTTCCATGCCTGTGTGTTGAGTATCTGCCTCCCCTCCCCATGGTCAGGGCACATCATAGCGCATAGTTGAATGGTTGAATGGTCACTTAGACTTTTCTATATATTATAACATATATTGTTTATTATTTCATATACCTAAAATAGGAGAGGTTGTAAAGTGAAAAGTCAAAGTGCATCCCAACTTTCTATTCCTACCCAAGAGGAAGACACTGTTAGGAGTTTCTTGTGTATCTCCTCAGAATTGCCCATTACACATACAAGCTTGCATATGCACACTCATTTTATATGGCTGAGATCATGCTGAATGAATAATTTAGCTTTTTTTGCTTCACATGAATATATGAGCATTTTCCACTCAGTTAAAAATTACTGGTTAAACAACATTTTTATTGGCTGCCTAATGCTTCGTCCTATTGATATGCCACAGTTTGTTTAATCTTTTCCCTATTGTTCATATTTACTCAAGTGAGTGGCAGGAAGAAGGAAGTGAGTAAGAATGAAGTGTTGGGAGGAAGAAGCAAGCTAAGATGCATTGAGGGCCTACTGTGTGCCAGCCATTTTTACTATTTTCCCAATGGCCCAGTGTCAGAGCTAACACAGTCCCCACACTGCATGTGAGGTTCAGAGAGGTAAAGAAAGAATTTGCTTGTAAGTCAGGGAGACAGGGTTTAAAGGAAGGTTTGTCAACTGCAGAGCCCATAGTTGTTCTATTTTGCCAAGGTGCCTTCGCAAAGTCCCGGGCTTTAAGACATTCCATTGCTTTGCATGGATGAGGAGAGCCCTTCATTCATTTATTCTCTCATTCATCCCAATAGCATTGATGTACCAGGCGTGAGGGATTCAGGGGGAAATGGCCCAGCTCTGTCCTAGAAGTTCAGTTGCATGGGGATGAATATGTAAACAAGCAACCATAACCTCGCGTGGGAGAGGGAGATACAAGGTACCATGGGGGTCAAAGCAAGGGTTCTTCTCCCAGACTCCCAAGGTCAAAGTAGGCTGCCAGGGGTGGAGACTCTGCTGAGTCAGTCTTCTGGCACCAAGCAGGAAGTGCCAGCGAGGCCTGAGCTGCCTCTGCTTCCTGTCCTCCCCAGATCCCATGGCACCGAAGTCACCGGAGGCGCGGGCTGGCTCCTCCCTGACCTGGCTCCTGCCCTTCACAAGACGGCTTGCCCGGCTCCCACGGTGGTAAGGTGGGTGGGGGAACCCTAATTGCTGAGAAAATTTTCAAGACACCGTTTCCTGTTATTTTCTAGAAGTTCAGGAAATGGTTCTCATTCTCTGGGGGAGAGTGGGTCGCACAGGGGATTGGCTCAATGCTTGGGCTCCGATGGCCACATCTGGGTTGCAGTCCTGCTTCCCATTTGCTCTTCACCGATAGCAGTCAGAGCTGTGGGTGACAAGCCAAAGAGATGGGCCCCGGCTGTCTTGAACCAAGAAGGGAGTAAAATGCAATAGAATTGGCAGAGGTTCAGGAGGCAGCAGGCTTAGGAAAGGAGCAGGGATGAAGGCAGCAGTCCTCACGGCCCAGAGCAGCAGGAGGCACCAAACCATCCCTTAGCCCGGAGGATCTAATGAGGATACTGATCCTGTTGCGGCCAACAGCACAGCAAGTGGAATTCTAACCTTCCCGCACACCAACTGTCTGTGCCTTTATCATGTATCTGCATCAGCCAGGGAGCTTGGACAGGGAGGATTTGACCTTGAACCTCAGTGGTGGGAGGTCAGAGGCTTCCTTCCCACACCAGGGCAAGTCCTGCACACTATTCAGGGAGCTTTGGATCCTGGACAGACAAAAACCTCAATGTGCAGGACATGCCCTAACATCTCAGAGCCGTTGTGAAATGGACACGTTAATAACGTCCACCTCACAGGACTGCTATGAGGATTAAAAAAAAAAAAAAAAAAAGCAAGTAAGATTCTTAGCATAGTGCCAGAAACCCAGTAAATGCTCATAGTTTACCATGCTTGTTGTTATCATGATTACTACTGTTATTAGCCACTTTCTTATACAGTAAGATACAAATAGCATTTTAAACATAAAACATATTTTTAAATATAGGCCACGGACGGCATATGAAGTAACATATGCCATAGAAAGATACTGAAAACTTGGAAGAAGAGAGAGAAATCACCTACCACCCACTGAAAACTGCACCGACGTTGTGGTGTTTCCTGCCAATCTGTTTACTATACATTGCTTTTTGGTTCTTTCATTCTTCCTCTTTTTCCTTCCAAACAGCTATCCTGTGTGCACAGTTGTGTACCCTACCTCCCAGCCTTTGCACTTCCTTATGCTATTAAAGACCCTCTGCAATTGTCATCCCTAAGAGCTGCAAAATATCCGGTAGCCGGGAGAGAATCATCGCCCAAGTGTTGTTTCTACTGTCTGGCAGGGGGCAGGGGCGAGGGAGAGGTACGCATTTTATAAAGTGTGAGTGTTTTTCAAAAAACGCTTCTGATTCTGGAATGCTTCTTCAGAACCCCAAATCCGCATCAATTAAGCACTTTGTTCCAAGGAACCTTGTTCAAGGAGCTGATTGGTGAAATCCTCGCAGATCTGATGCAGGTTAGAGGCTTAGCCCTCCAGATGCACCAGGCCACACGGTGTTCTGATGGGGCATTTTCACTGCCACCACAATCCTACCGTCACCTGATGCCGCCAGGCTGCCCACTGTCTTCTCAAGTGCCCAACATGCTCAACTGCAGATCAGACTGGGTGGCGTGTCCCGCCTGGGAAACCTCCTGCCATGGAGAATGGAGAATGCCCCGGCCCTGCCTCTCGTCAGCTTGGGACTTGGATGGTTTTCTTATGCCTCTCAACCTCTTCTAGAAAAGAAAAAGAATCATGTAAAAATTCTCTTAGACAATAAGGTTTTTTTCTTCTGTTTTTAAAAATATATAATTTTGTTGATTTCCGAGAAGAAGGAATAGGGAGAGAGAGATATAAGCATCAATGATA